TCTGTTATTTTGCATTTACTTAAGTATATTCTCTGGACATACATATGGTCTATTTTAGAGAGCATTCATTGTGCAGCTGATAAGAATGTGCATTCTGAAGTTGAGTGGAACACTCTGTAAACACCAACTGTGTGTATTTTTCACATGCTTGGATTAGTTCTGATATTTTTTTGCTGATTTTTTTGGTCTGGTTGATTTATCTATGTTTGACAGTGGAATATTATATTCCCCCACTACAATTGTGTTATTGCTCATTTGAATTTTCATGTCTGCTAGTATTTGTCTTTATATTTGGGTGCTCCCATATTTGGTGCACACCTATTTATGATTGTAATCTCTTCCTTCCAAGTTTTCCCCTAACAAGTTTGTAGTATTCTTCTCTTATCTCTTGTAATTATTCTTGGTTCAAATTTCACATTTTTTGCAAACAGAATATCCATCCTTGCTTTTTTCTGGGTTCCTGTTGCATGGAGTATTGTTCTCCATCCTTTGACTTTTAGTCTATGACTTTCTTTTTGAATTAAGTGTGTTTTTTGTGTGCAGCATATTGTTGAATCTTTCTTTCTCCATTCTGCCAGTCTGTTTATTTTGATTGGTGAACTGAGCCCATTTACTCCGATGGTTATAACTGATATGAATTGACTTATCTTTGTCACGTTATTTCCTGCCGTTGGTTTCTTGCTTTTCTCCTCTGTTTAACTGCTTGCTCTACTTCGTGGTTTCTTTTTGTTGTTGTTCTTGGAACCGTCATCATTTTTATCTCTGTCTACAATGTCTTTCAGTATCCTTTGTAGCACTGATTTGATGGTCATAAATTTCTCCAGTTTTTCTTTGTCATTGAAGTATCTAATTCATCCATTAATTTTGAAAGTTAATTTTGCAGGGTACATTAATATGAGTTGGAAATTGTTTTATTTTAGGGCTTGGAATATTTTAAACTCTTCTTGACTTTTGTGTTGAAAAGTCTGCTGTGATTCTAATGGTCTTTCCTCTATAGCTGATCTTCTTTTAACAGCTTTTAAAATTCTGTTCTTGTGCTTAATTTCTGAGATCGTGATTATTAGTTGGCTGTGTGTAGATTTATTTTGGTTATGACTAAACAGAGTTCTATATGCTCACTTATCTCTGTGTCAGAGTCTTTGCTCATGCTTGGGAAATTTTCTGTTTTTGAAAAAGGTCATTTGTGTTGACTCTTGATTTTTCATTGACAGCAAGTCTTATATTTCTTTCCATGGTCTTACAGCTGTCTTTTCAATAATTTAAATTACTCTTTTCTGCATGACTTTTGTATTATTTTCAGTGTTTATATCTGTGTTTAGTGTACAGTGAAATGGAAAAATGATTTTATGAAATCTTATCTAGACAAGGATTTATATATTTTCATATATTATAAAGTTCAATGGAGTTATTTTCCACTATCATTTATATGATATATTTTGTTAAATATTTTGAAAGGGAAGAAATCCTGCTGGACCTATGATGTTTATGAATAGATTATGCTAAGAATTACACTTCCTTGGAATGAATGTTATTTTTATTTCAGAGTCTCTATATAAGGATTAAACCCATTATAAAATACCTCTTCTATTTGTTATGGACTCAATCCTAAGAAAGAAGGCAACTCATAGATAAATCATTTTTTATTTCTACCTTTCTAGAAATCATTCTTGAATCCAAATTTGGTTTTTTAGATACCTTGATAAAACTAGTAATTTTTAACATTGTTTTCCTTGTACTATTAAACATTATGTTCCCTTGCAAACTGTAAGATAACTAAGTTTTTCATCAATAATTTAAATTGTTGCAAAGTTGCAATTGCTTATATGTGGTAAATTTTGGTTTGAAACATAGTTGTATACCTCTTTAAATTTATATTCATGAAAATGGAAACAGTGTAATAATCTATAAATAGCTGAAAAATTGATCTATTTCTTTTTTTGTCTTAAATTTGTAGTCATTGATTCTGTTTTGTTTGTTTGTTTTTGGAAGTACTAGAAACTGAATCTCCTGCCTTACACATGGAAAGCAATGGTTCTGTCATCAAGCTATAGTCTCAATCCCTAATTTATACTCACAGCATCATAGTGTCAGCACTTTCATGCTTTGAACATTTTTTCATAATCACCAGTGATAAATTGCACATTATGCAATCCAAGCACATATGTCTGTGAAGATTTACATGTGTGTGTGTGTATATATATATATATATATATATATGTGTGTGTATTAAGATATATATAAATATGTGTATTAAGATATTTCTTCTCATCGTAAATCTACACATTTTTATTTAGATATTACACATATTTATTAAGATATATATAAATAGCTGTATTAAGATATTTCTTCTCATCGTAAATCTACACATTTTTATTTAGATATTACACATATTTATTAAGATATATATAAATAGCTGTATTAAGATATTTCTTCTCATCGTAAATCTACACATTTTTAATATTTTTATAAGTGATGCTAATATAAATAAATTTTGACCTCTGTAAAAATGATACCTAACACAAAAGTGATGCTATTTGGAAACAGTTTTCTCAGTGAGATGGATATAGCTTTATAAAATTTCATTTAGCTAATATGTTCATGGCTGATTATTATTTGCTTAAATGGATTTTACATGAATTTTATTATGATTATAAATTTTTGATGTAAATATTGAAAAATTGTCTCATAAGAATAGGTTGGGACAAAAGAGTTTTATTGAAGTAATGGATCTCAGTTTTTTGAGCTCTTTAAATTTACTATGTATGACGTAATTAAGCGAATATTTTAGTAGTTTTTCAGCAAACTCAACAGTGTACACCTATTTCAAATTGGTAGAATAACTTGGCATGGTGGAATAAGCCTGTAATCTCAGCACTCACAGGGCTGAGGCAGGAGGATTGTTGTGAGTTTGAGGCCAGACTAGATTACAGAGTGTGCTCAAGTCCAGTCTAAACTGCACAGCAAGACTGTTTCAAAAAATTCTGGCAGAAGAAAACTGAAAATCGCTTTCATGAGTATAGATTTGTTAAACCTTTTGGTCATGAACTTTCTGAATACTAACACCAGTTTTCTAACTGCCCAATACTGTAGTGCCCCAAAAGTTTTTCTACTTTAAATCAATGCATCCATCCAGGTTAAAATAAAGAAAAATGTGATCCAGCTCACCTTTTGTATGAAATATTGCAGGAGGAGTTGTGAAGAAGGAAATGAAAAAAATTGAAAGTATTAACTTGCTATTAAGATGTCACATTTTATGAATTAGTTAAATTTGGAACATGGTTTTCTACCAGATGTTCAGGTTTCTTTCAGAGCATTACTGAGTTTGACGACCACTTGTACTTGTCACAGATGTCTTTGTCATTCTGTTCTTAGAGAGTCCTTCAATTAAGCCATTTGATATGTCCTTCCTCCTATAGCTGGTGATAGCGATAGCTGGCCATAGTGTTTTGTTTTTAGAGATCAATTCTCTATATGTTTTTTATGTGTGTGTGTTATGAAAACAGTTTTAAAAATGTTCATACAAGAATACAGTAAATCAAAAGGAGAAGCAGATAAATTGTAGTGCATAAACACAATCTTATACTGAGATAAATTCTCTTTGTGTCAACTCTCTCCCTCACTCTCTCTACCCTCTATCTATTCATTTGATGAAGAAGTATACAAATTCATAACAAATGAATATGAAGGCCTTTTTGCTATAGCTAGTTAAACAGATTTAAAACAGATGTGTGACTTCATCTTTCATATTATGTGTATAATAAGATCATAAGATCCTCTTTCAGATCGTGTATTCTCATGTTGATGTAATTAAGTACATTGGAGTCATTTATTTCCTTTACCTGTTCTAAAGTTATAATCACTTTCAAATCAGAAAATTGTTATTTCTTAGACAGTATTGACTGATCCTTAGAATACTGTATCTGTATATATCCAAAATTATACAGACATTCACATATAAACATGTATTTCAGAAAAAAGGCCACAAAATAATATTTGTTCATCATGGCATAAAGCAGTATTTTGTAAATATTTTGTTAGATGGCCTTATTTATGAGTTTTGTAAGTATACCTTTATGTATGTGTATATGCATGTAATTGTATTTTGGAGCTTGTATACTGCAACAAATAAATGACGGATGCATGTTTCTTGCACATGACCAAGAAACTAAATAATGATATCTTTTTATATTTATTATTTTTATTGTTAGATTTGAAGCTGAATAAAGTGAATTCTAAACTTCATAATCAATATCCAGACCCCTGCTTAGATAACCATTTGAGTCTTTGATTTTTTTAAAAAGCAGATGTGGTAATATTTCTCTAATTTGATAATTTTGTTAGTAACAAATATGTTAATACATGATACTTTGTAAACTATAAATGACTTTTCAAATACAAAGTGAATGTATCCTGATGAAATATGTGTACAAATGACAAATTTTAAAGCATGCATTAAAACTTGCTACGTGTATATTATAACACTCTAACTCAGAGACACATATGAATAAATCAGTTATAAAATTTTGTACTTAGGTTTTGTTGTAGACCAAAAATATATGTTATAGCATCAGCCTTTTTATCATATTTTAAATCATTCCTGTTATTTTACTTTATTAAAGTCAGTTCTGTATTTTGAGGAGAGTCAATATGTATTATGCACTCAGGTGGAGATTTCCATCAAAATTTTCAAATATGTTTCAAGTAACACAAATATGAAAATAAGTATGTAGCTTATTAAGATTAATCACTTCATAGAGAATACCATGCAGTTAAGTGCATAAATTCTGATTTCTTTGTTAAAAATGTATCTCACTACCTTTTTTCCATATCTTAATTTCTTTAATTCCTTTTATTGACAACAGTATGATCAGTAAATTTGCAAGAAAGCTAAAATGTCTTTTAACGTGTTAAAAGTGTCAGTATATTTTCCTTTGCATTTAACTAAGTAGTTATTATGATTATTACAATTAGTTATCTGTACCTTTATTCACCTCTCTTAGGTTGATTCCATCCTGTGAAATGGAAATTGAGTCAGTAGTTGATTTTGGCACATTAGTTTCCAACAGTAAAGTATATTCTGAAGTGATTCGTATTAGTAACCTTGGCACAGTTCCAGGTAAGAGTTTGCTGTTGTATAAATTTACTTATATGTTCAGATGAAATTATTCTCTGATTCAATCATATATCTGTGGTTTAAAATAGTTCAAAATCAAAGACCCTTAAGTAGTGTGACTAAAAGGAACAGGTATTACGAGAATTCAGGAAAAATAAATCTGTCTACTTACAATTCTGATTAACATAGCTGACTCTCAGATTACTGGTTATCTCCATGTGCATACGAGCCAAGATGGTGCCATAGAAGTGATACTGTTCTTATAACTGCCCAGAGACAGAATTAGGGCATAAGCTTGCTGTGTGATATTTGACAAATTTATTAAAGATTTTAATGTTGTGATTTTTTATTTATAAACTAGTACTAATAAAATGTATATGGGACCGGGTATATGGCTCAGTAACACAGCGCCTGCCTAGCAAGCACAAGGTAGTGAGTTCAATCCACAGTAACATAAATAAATAAGTAAATAAATAAATAAATAATGGTTTATTGTGTACACCCTTAGACTTGTGTATGGGACCTTTCTTAACAGAGACACTCAGTAAATACTGATTCTCTTTCTCTGTCATAGTCAATATTGAATTCACATCACAGTCTCTAAAAGATACTCAGTGTTTTTATTTTTTTGCTGAAAGAATAAGTGCTTCTCTGTTCTACAGATTCTCTTCTCCAGACTGGAATTCTATTAGTTTATTATTGGGGACTAAAAGTTTCTATAAAATGTGTGTGTGTGCACGCGCGCACGTGTGCGTGCATGTTCATATGCACCTTTTCACTGATAACATAAAGTAGGTATAAAATTACATGCATTTTCAGTTTTTTATTTTATGTTCAGGATCACAGATTGCAATATTGTTATTTCTTCTAATAAAACATGAAGATTATCTCTACATAACAGTGTGCCCTCCCATTGCATGTTGAATATATAAACCAGATTGTAAACCTAATTCTCTTTCCCAATAAAAGAGGGCCTGTTCTCTGGGGCTGCCTGAGTGAGCACTGGTAACTATTAAAACAAAATCAAGGCATCATAATACTGATTTCCTCCTAAATTATATTGGAATAAAACTGATAATTGTTCAACATTGAATGTTGCTCATTTTGCTTTGTTTTGTTTTATTCTTTTTATTAGTGTATATTTGTGATATGTACTAATTACATTAAGCTTGAGTGGTTTGTACATATACATATCCCATCTTTAGAAGTTTTAGAAAATAAAGTAATACAAATAAAAATCTCTCTATTGTGTATCAATGTGGCATATCTGTAATCTTTCATAGCCTTAACAACAATAATATATGCTTTTTATTCTAAAATTTCATGAAATTTTACAGTCTTATTACATGTGAAATCTATCTGAATGAAAATCAAATAGGAATTTAATTGAATATATAATATTACTTAATAAGAAAAAATAAAATTAAGCTACAGATGTGGGTCCACATATTTAAAGAAAAATAATCTACATTGTTTGTAAGTATTATAGTATTATTTTGTTAGCATGCAGCGTTCGTACTAAATTAGTTAGGTGTGTTTTAATTGAACACTGAAATATTAATTGCTCTTATATCATAAACAGAAATCTAATTGGCACTACAGCTGTTTCACTTTTGACAAGTAACTGAAAATTTCTAAGCATATATTTCCTTATGTGTAAAGTGAAGACAAATTACTGAAACTTTGCCATATGATACAATGATTTAACTGCATAAATGTGCAGAGTTGTTAATATAATTGTTGAACAATGGAAGTGGGTAATATCTTTTACCCTGTGATGGGAGTTAAATTCTAAAACTAAGCTCACATTTGTAGAGTGTCTCAAGTGTCTATCCTCTATTGATATTGTGAATGTAACCTAGTAAGAGTAGATGCAAGTTGACACCATGCTCATAAGTGAAATAAATAAGAATCGCATGTGTAAATATGATATTGTCTGACTTGTGTGAGACACTGAAAGAGAAAATAAGATCTGAAATGTACAGTAGATACTAGGAAATGGGAAGAAATTGTTCAAAAATAAAAAGGGCCGAGGATAGGTTAAAAGGCAAAGGACAGTATTGAAAATGGGAAAAATGAAAGTCAGTTATGCAATTAGTATCTCTTAGTCTAGTAGAAAGGAACGATTGTTCTAAAATCAATAGGCGAAAATTTTATGCCTGTATCTTGTACCCTGAGCAACTATCTAAAGACAATGACATGTAATGTGTTACCTATTGTTATTCTTTTAATATTTCGTTATGACATTTTTTCTTAAAAAAGAGTAGATATGTAAACTATCATTCTTATTCTATTTAGGTATGTTTAAAGTGGAATACCAGGGCCAGTTACCTATCCACATTTTTCCAAACTATGGTGTCGTGAAGCCTGAGTCATTTATAATTGTCAAAGTAGATTTCTGTGCAGACAAATCCAGACTTGTAAATGAAGTGGCTAAGTAAGTGTGTATTATGCTTCTTAATTCTAATATGATTCTCTTTCCTCTTTCAGCCTTCAAATGTACCTTTTTATATGTCGGCTTCTTTTTCTTTTATCTAGTGTTCATTCTTAGAGATGGTACTATTTTCCAAGCACTTGAGTTCTCAGAAGTGAGAAGAACTAGTGGATAGGGAGTGTGTACATAAAATAGGAGCCCCTAGTTTGAATTTTGTGGTGGTAAGGTAGAGACCAGGAGAACACTTTCCTAGTAAGATACATATACTGGTGAAGAGAAATTAGCCAACAAATAGTGTGCTTGATGTGATTGAAAGCATGTCAGTGTATAGAGGAGAAGAGTCTAGTAATGGAAGTCAGTTATGGGAGTTACTTCAGGCAGGTAACTCAGCAAGTAGCAGAGTCAAAAAAAATAGTAAAAAAGACAAGACAATATTGTATATTGAAGTATCTGAGGCAATCAGGAATAAAAATGATATGCTAAGTGATGCAAAATGAGGAGATCTAGAAAATGAGAGAAAAAAAACAGTAGGGAATGAGGAAGTTAAAATATACCTATTTCCAAGATGAATATAATTATATTGTATTGAAAGCACACACTTAAAAAGATGAGATAAAAAGATGGAAGATCTAATTAAGGGTTGCTGGTCAACATTTTTATGAGGTGTGTCTCATTTCACTAACAATATATGCAGTTGGTTATCACCTGTATTTAAAAGAATGAAACAGAAAACATGACAATGCATCTTACCATAGCAAAGAAAATGATTTTTGTAGATCATCTGTCTGTTTTTGTAGAGGTGTGTGTGTATGTGTGTGTTACTACATTGCAATGGGAAATACATCTCTTACTGAAAATTTGCAGTCATAATATATAATAAATAGTTGTGACCTCTATTAGGAGCTTAAGGTTTACTGTGAAGTCTTACCAAGGTTTTAGGAACATAATGCCTTGATTGATTTACCTTTCAGAAAGGTCGGGGTAGTAGAGTTGTATAAAATAGATTAAGGAATATAGATGTGAAATGTACAGCCTGACTAGAAATTATAACAGGAAAACAAGAGGAAATTTATAAAGAATTGAGCTAATGCGCAGATTGGTATGACTGAGAGAAGTATGCCTATTGAAGCTATGTTATGGAGGTAACTTTGACTAAATTTTCTGACTCATTATAGAAAGATAAGGTAAGAGAATGAATGGGTAGTTGGGCAAAAATATAAAATTCATATTTGACATGTTGGGATTAATTCAGTCTTCAGAGTCCTGATGGAGCTCGCTGTTTTTAGTTGTCTTGAGCCAGAGAGAGACAAATTTAGTATCAATATCCTAGGCAGAGAGGCAACATTGCATAAACGGTAGATGAAATGTTGAAGTGCTGGAGATAATTGTAAGAAGGAGGATAGATTGTGAGAGTAGGAGGGAAATGCCACTGTGCTTGGAGTTTAAAAAAGAACCAAGTCATAGAAGAAAAAGAAATATTATGGATGAGTTAAAAGGAAAAGTAGGAAAATATTGTATCAAGGAAACTAAGTGAAAAAAGACATGTAAAGAGATAGTGACAGTTTTCCATGCTATAGACTATCATACTACTAATTATTTAGGTGATTTTTGAGGAATAGCTAGTTATTTGTGTTATCTAATGAAGCTAGACTGAAAAGATTACATTTATACTAGAATGGAATAAATATGGGAAAGTACTTCTAAAAGAAAACTGAAATTAATCTAGACTATAAAGTTTAATAGAAAATATTCTTCCCCAGAAACGAAGTGAGATTTGTATGAGGTACATTATGTTGTATGGACTGAAGTGCTAGAATAGGGATGAGTGTAGAGTTGAGAAGTAGAATGAATTAGAAAGCTTCTCAGTTTCAGGCCAAGAGATAATCATCCAGAACATTTAGCATTTATAAAACAATTGGTGATTTGAATATGTTATTGAGTTTATGGGGTCATTTCATAAGTGATTTTTCATCTTTGTTTTTCTATAATAAATTAGCTTACATGTGTGTTGTTCTAATATGTAGATTTGGACAGAGAGAAGGCTTTCATAATCACTGGCATGTGTGTAATCTAGCTGCTCTTAAATTATTAAATTTTAATTATAATGTGATTTTATAAAATTTTATACAAATGTTTAGAAGAAACATAAGATATATAAAATTTAATTAATATATTTATATACATGCATATTTCATTATCTTGTAGAGTGAGGTTACAAGGTCGTCCTGAGATGTACTTGAATATTAAAGCTCATGTGGTTGATCAGATTATTGAATTGTTAAACACGAGTGATGAAAGAAAATTGGAATGTATACACTTTGGATCTGTTTTCTTTGAAACATCAAAAATTGAACATGCATTTTTATATAATAATAGCCCACAACCTATAAATTGGGTAGCAGTAATGCTAAATGACTGTGTTGGAGAAGAGTTGGTAAGTAAATGGTACAACACAAATATAGTATGTATTAGACCTTGAAACAAATTGTTTTGAATCTGTCAATAGCTTCCGCACTCTTTATTTAAATATATTTTAACAGAGATTTATAGAAATGATTTCATGTATATCCAAGGATAATCTAAAATATCAAGTAAATGAAGTTACTATTTATAGCAGTGTTTATCTGAAGTATACCAAATAAGTTCTTCTTATATAGGCCAGTGATTAATTGTGGAAATTTCTATTTCCATTAATTTTTCAATAGTTCTTTAAAGTTTACAGTGTTCCTTAGTCAAATTTAGGTGTGTGTTACTTTAAAGACAGATATTTTATGTTTTCTAGATTCTCACATTTCAGCAACTAGTTTATCACCTTTGTTAAAATATTTTTGCTTGCTTTGCTTTCTTTGATTATATTTCTGCTTTTTTATTACAGGGTACAAATATTCGACAAACAACAGATTTTGCTTTAAATAATCTCACCTACCTAAACAAAATAAAAACCATCGATATTACCACTGTTTTCTCCTGTGTTCCTAATGAAGGGATTTTACTACCTTATCAAAAGATTGTAATTACATTTTGTTTCAGCCCAAAGTAAGCAAAAATTAATACAGTTTCATGTTTAGTACTAATGTAAATTGTGTGAAGCACACTTCAACTACATTGATTTTAATATCATAGTAAAACTCACCAGAAGGCATAAATTGCTTCTTTTTCTTGTTATGGTTCTAAATGTTTCCACCATAGTTAATATTACTTCCAGAATTTCTTAAAATGGCATTAAATAATTGAGGTTAAATTAAAAATTATTCTAGAATTCATGGAATTGGAATGGTGGAAGTACAAGTTTCTGGCTGCTTTTGATTATAGTCCGAAATCAAAAACTTGTTCATGCAGCGATACTCAGCAGAATGCAGTATGTATTTGAGAATTTGTGGCTAGAGGGTGAACTTTCAATCCAACAAGTGTGCCTATGATGCAACTCATATCTGTCTTTGTCTCTTACTTTTTCCTTCCAATTTATCCTTTCCTGTTCTTTAACAAGATTTAAACTCTTAAACAAATCTTGTTCTCCAAATTATTTACTGTCCTCTAACAAAGACATAGCCAGCAAGATGCATTTACTCCATCAGAGGAGATAAGTATTAAATGACATGTTCAATTAATATCAGGTATTAGCTGAACTATGAATATTATAGAGAGCTGATAAGATTTCTTAGCCCACAATGAATTTTGCCTGGAGGGAAAATCCTTTACAAAGAAAGTGGCATTTCAGCCAGCGCTTGACAACTTTGTATATTGAAGTTACTCTTGTCATGAAGTATTGGAGAAACTCATTATTTTTGAGCTTTATACTCTGTGATTTTCTGCTGTCAAATTCTGTATCATTTCAGTAAATATGAGAAATGGATAACGGTTGTGTATTTCTTTGTTAATTTTCTTTTGCTTGCATAGATTTAAAGATTGGACTGGTACTTTATTTTGAGAAGTGATAAAGTGGATCATTTTTGCTTTAAATGTGAAAATAAAATAAAATGATTACTACAATATGTGTATTGGTACATGCCAATTCCCCAAGATGAATATAATTATTATGTATAGCAGACATATACTGCTAATAAAAAGTTATGATTTTTTTTACAGGCTAATAGTTGAGAGTAAAATGAACGTTGACCCTTCACATAGGCAGGATTATGCTGTCTTTTTGAGATTTGAGACTGTGAGAAGTAGAGATGGATTTTCACAAGATGATATCTCTGAAACTGTGAAAAGTAAGCATAAAGTTAACAAAGTAATTAAGTATAGTATTTTCAACATTCATATTTGTAGAGACAGTTTATTACAAGTATGTAATTATTAGTTTGAACAGAAATGCAAACATTCAAGTGATCAAAGTATTTCATCTGTAGCATGTTAAAAACAAAGTCAACCTTAGAATCACATACATAATAGTTTTCCATTTGAGAACTTCTATGACTTTATAACTTTAAAACAGCATTCAGTAAACATGATTTAGAGTTCGGGGAATTAAAAATGGCTTTATTTTGTTGGTATGCCTATATTTGTTCTTTAGTATTTGGTATAGAAACAAATGACTCATTCCATCTCTACCATACTTTTAACATGTGCTCTCTCATATATATATATATATATATATATATATATATATATAGAGAGAGAGAGAGAGAGAGAGAGAGAGAGAGAGAGAGAGAGTTCTAGTAAATAGAGTGTAGCACCCTGTCATAAGATCCAATAAATCAGTTTTTCAGGCCACATGTCAAAATGCATTATGCTTTCTACATTCTAAATTAGCATTGGGCTTGTTTTAGTAAAAAATTTAAAAAGTGGAACCGGAATTTTCATTACTTTAGCAAGACATTAAGAATCACATCCAGAAAAATGAGCCATTCCACGGAGAGGTAGGATCATCCCAGGCACATAGGAGAGTGACGAATCTAGAAAGTTTGCAAATCAATGCAAGCAATATGTAACAAAATTTACCTGTGTTACTGGAGCAGAAATTTATTGCTGTTACCATTTATGTCTTGGTTTATGACATTGATTCATGTCTTCAGTAATAGAATATTTGTAAGAAGCACATAGGTAAGTGTAGCTTTCAATAGCGACAAAGATCCTAGATTTGCTTTAAAGGTAACTTAAAGACTAGAATTGGAAGGGAAAGCACCAATGAATAAATGTGTACTCTTTTTTTTTTCAGTTCTAGTTACATTGTTCTATGCATAACATTTCATCCAATTACTGTCTCAGTCTTTTAGTTCCTAACTTGCTTGACTGTCTGAGAAATTTTATGTTTAATATTTGTTCCTAATTTATGTTCCACTGTCCATTTTCAATCACTTCTCATGTACATTTAATTTTTTGTCCCATATCCCATAGTAATTAAGTGGCGAAAACTATAATCCTATTACTTTTAACTTTCCACCTACTCTGGATCTGCATATGTGATCTTGAATTAAAAAAATTACACCATAGTAAACTCACTTTACATCTATAACCACACACTTCTTGTGGTTTCTCTAAAGTGTTTGACATTCCTACTACATTCCCCCATTCCTTCAGTTTCTGACAGTCTTAGGTGAGTATTACATGCCTTTATTCTTTCCTTAAGCCTCCAATTCTTCCTCTTTTGTTTGCACTCTAAGATTGCAAACACACTGCAGTACGTAGCATTGTCAATAGGGTACCTACTAGACCTGTCAATCTTAACATGTTCAATGAAATTTTTGCTTTCCCTCAACCTATTTCTGTTCTCTGTCTTAATAAATTGTATTTGAAACATTTCACTCGCTCAAACTGAAATACTTAGTGCTATTGTTAATTATCTTTTTCAAGTTTCAATCCTCCATAAAATCCTTCAGAAAATCTTATTTTTTCTACCGTCAAAAGTGTATGCAAAATCTGAGCATTTCTCTCTTTGACACTTAATACTCTCCCCTAGTCATATTTGGTTCTACAGAGTTTTTGAAAATGCTAAACAAGTCTTTTTCTTAGAATGTCTTGCTCCTCTCTATATCTAGAATATACGTTTCCTGTTTGGTCGCATGAATTTCTTCTAGATTTCCTGTACGTCTTTTCTCATTATGTCTCACTGAAACAGAGAACTTTTTGGCCTTCTCCACATAAAACAATATCCTGACGACCTTGTATTTTCTAAGCCCTTGTGATTTTACCTTTACCAACAGAGATCATTTTCTATATGAAATGCTATGAATTTACACATTTATTTTTTATTATTGATATCACTTAATAGAATGTAAGTCTGTGAGATCAAAATTTCCTTTCTTCTTTGCTCTAGTCCCAGATTCAGAAGTATATCTCACACAATGAAGGTATACAATAACTTTTTGAAAGAAAAGATTAAATGGGATGCCAGTTTATCTTCAGGTCTTTCAAATGATACTATGTGGATTAAGCTAAAATACTTTTGATTCTTCACATACTTTTTATGTTTAACAGCTATTATTTCTTTTCCAGGTGATCAGTTTCAGAAAGTGGAATTAGCACTGACTGGCTCAGGACATCCTGTCTTGTTGCATCTCAATCCAGGAACAATCTTTAAATTTTCACCTTGTTTCATGGGTGAACATTCAGATGTTGTGTGCACTATACACAATCAATCTGAATTTCTTCCTGTGACATACAGTTTTCCTAAAACTGCACATTTTAAAATTGAACCTAATAGGGGAAAGATCAATGAAGGCTGCATACAGGTAAGATAATTTTTCTTTGTTTTCTTTCCACCTTGCTTCAGACCTTTTTAATGTCTGCTAAATCTCTGTGCAGAGTATTAAAAAACACTGCTCTACTAATGCTTATAAAATATATCTTTTATGTGGACTAGGATTAGTTATGAATACTTCTGTAGGTATAGTCATGAATAATCTATGGTTAAGTACCTCTGTGATGTAAGGAAATTATTTGAAGTTCTAGTAAATTTAAATAAGTACAAAACATATTTATTTTATAAAGATATTTTTAAAGTAATTCAGAATTTTAAGACATATATACAAATAGATATGGATTATGAAGCTTGTAGAAAATGGTAAAATAGAACTGTAATACTGTGATATATACAGCCAGCGAGAGAACAATGTGTGCTTATTTACACTAGGTAGAAAAGTCTTAATAGAATAACAGGAGCATGACCTTGAATGTTGAATAGAATTTTGAAACATGAAATTGGTGACACTTACCTGGTCACATTCTGATATAGCTGACACAAAGCAGACAAAGAGAATATCAAGGCATTGCTGTCAGCATCAGGCCACCTACTATGCATCAGGGGTTATTTTACTTTTAATTGCTATTCAATCAGCTCTGTCCCATTTCCTCCAAACCAGGTATTGTAAGGCTATAGCCTGAAGACCAAATCTGTCCCGATGCTTCTTTTGGTAAAAAGTGTTTTTGGAATATAATTACACTTACTTGTTCATCGATTGTCTATAACTATTTTCATGCTACAACAACAGAGTTGAGTAGACGTGAAAAGACTGCATCATCCATAAAGTCCAATTTTATTCCTTTTTTGTGCTAGAGATTGACCTCAGAACTGTGCATGTACTAGAAAAGTGCTCTGTTGCTGAGCTGCATTTCTAGACATCCCCATTGAAAAAACTTAAAAATACTTTCTGTCTTGTGATTCACAGGAAAAAAAATGCTGAACCATGCTATGAACATAGCAAATATAAGTGCTTTCGATTTTACCTTAGTTTGTTATGTTATCATCTTTTTTCTCCTGGATAATGATGTGGCTCATGAAAATATTTATCTACTTTCTGACAAATAACATGATTTCTTTATAGCCGAATATCACCCCTAAGTTAGTACCTCCTAATATCTCATTTTCTTCATCCATTTGTCTGTTGATGGACAGTTTCAAAGATTTATCTATTATCAATTATGCTGCTGTAAACATGTGTATGCCAGGATCACTGTACTATAATGTATTTAAATCTTTTGGAATGATACTTAAGTGGGGAAAGAGCTGGGTTGAATGGAATTTCAAGCTTTTGGTTTTTGATAAATCTTCATAATGATTTCTGTAGAGATTGTATATTCCCATCAAGTCTGTGGAACCCCCATCTGCTGGCAAGCTCACTAATATTTGTTTTTATTTGATTTCTTGATGATGCCCTTTCTTTGTGGAGTAAGGTGAAATTTCAGTGATTTGTTCAATTGCATTTCTCTAATGGCCAAAGCTGTTGAACAGTTTTTGATGTATTTATTTTCTATTCTTCTGAGAAATGTCTATTCATTTCAACTGCCCATTTTTAATTGAATTTCTTATTTTGGGAGGTATAATTTTTTTCTTTATGTATTCTAGATATTAGTCTTCTATCTGAGGTGTACCTGGAAGAAATTTTCCTATTCCATAGGTTGCTTTTTAAAACTCTGTTTATTGTTTTCTTTGCTATGCAGGAATTTTTAAATTTGATACAATCCCATTTGTTGATTCTTCATGTTATTTCTTGTGCATTTCCTATTATGTTAAGAAATTCTTTGTATATGCTTGTGACTTCAAGAGTTCTACCTACTTTATCTTCCAGTGATTTTTTTTTTTTTACTATATAGATAGGTCCTTCATTTTGATTCTGGTTCAGCATGTAGTGAAGGATATGGGTCTAACTTCAATCTATTGCATGTGTACAGAAAATTTTACCAGCAACATTTGCTAAATAGGCTTTCTTTCTCCCAGTGTATGTTTGTGACCATTTATTAATGATCAGTGAATATACCTGTTTGTGAATGTGTGTATGTGTGTGTGTAGGTCATATATGCTGTTCCATTCATCCACACATCTGTTTTTATGATAGTCCCATGCTATTTTTATCACTGTAGCTTTGCAATGTAACTTGAAACACAAGAGTGTGATGTCTCTTTTGTTCACATTATTTAGGGTAGCTTTTGGCAAATCTGAGTCTGTCTAGTTCTGTATAATTTTTTGTTTGATTGATTGTTGAGACAAGGTCTCACTATGTAGTTTAGCCTTGCATTGAACTCACTATAAAATACAGACTGGACTCACGTTCTGGTAGTCCTCCTCCCTCAGTCTCCTGAGTGTTGGAATTACATATGAGCTCCACCATGCATGGCTCTGTATGAGGTTTTTCTGTTTTGATTTTTTCTAGTTTAGTGGGAAATGTTGTTGACATTTTGATTGGAATTTCATCAAACTCCTTATGAGTTTTAGAATTATGGCCATTTTAATAATATTGACTCCAGAAGTGTGGATTATCTATTTTACAATGTTTTTTTAAATCTCCTTTTTTCACAGTATTGTTGTGATCTTTTACATCTTTGATTAACTCCTACTAAATATTTAATTTTTTCTTGCTATTGTGAATGGTATTGTTCTCATGATTGTGTTGCTAGTGGTTATATTATTGACATATAATATCCTTTACTACGTTTTAGCTGAGTGTTTTTATAGGCTAATTATAAGAGATTTTTCTACATTCTAGACACAAGTCTAGATATATTCAAGTATATGGAAAATATATTAATTATAAACATTTTCTCCTTTTCTGTGCTTCGCTTTCTTCAGTGTGTGATTTTCATAATATTTTGTTCGTGTTTTTAATAGACAGTAATTGCATTCATCTTGAGAAATAGGACTATATGCATATATTTTAGCCACCCATCTTCTTCCCCTTTTCCCTCCTCTGCCTTCTGCTCCTTCTGCTCCTTCTGCTCCTCTTATCTCCAAGAAATCTAATTCTCTCTTTCTTAACATTTTAATTTGTGCTTTTTCTTTTAGTTTCAGTCTTTCATATTAGAGAAACAATGTGATATTTAACCTTATGTGTCGGTTTATACGATTTCATTCTACAAAGCACAAAAAGTTATTTTTAACTTCAGCTTAATCCACTTTTTGTTGTTAATGCTTAGTGTCATATCTAAGTAGTCATAAACTATCTTAATTCATTGAATTTTGTTCCTACGTTTCCCTTTACAATTCTATTTTTAGATATTTAAGTCAGTTCTCTACTTTCAGGTTTCTTTTTTTGTTTTGGTATGGTATTTTTTAAAGATCTAAAATCATTTCCTTACATATATTAGGTTAGTTTTCTCAGAATGTAGCCAGAGTTTTTAAAAAAACAATTTGCCTTGGATATAAAGATTTTTGAATTTACAATTTTACTTTATGTGTTTATTCTTAAGGCAGTAGCACAATGTATTGCTTATTGCAACATTGTAAAAAGTTTTTAAATAAATGAAACTTCCAAATTTGCTAAAGAGTATTTGTGGCTTAATCAGAGCCCTTTAAAATTCAAATGATGTTACAATTTTAACTTGCCAATTTCTGTAAATATGTCAATTGAGATGTGATAGGGACTATGTGACTTTTTAAATCTGGCAAATACTGCCATTTTCATAATATTAAGTCTTGTGACCCCAAAATTTTTGATATCTTACCATTTATTTATATGTACGTTAGGTTATTTCATTGATATTTATGACTTTCTAGTGCAGAATTCTTATATTTATGTCAATATTTTATAAACAGTTTAATCTATTTGATGTCATATAAATGAAATGGAATTTTTATTTTCATTTTTGGATAGATCATGGTTGATGCGTATAAATTCAGTTGTTTATTGTACATTTCCTTTTCATACTATAAGCTTTCTGAATTCATTTAATAATTTTAATAGTTTCTAGTGAATTTTTTGGGATACAGGATCATGTCATTGATGAACAGAAGTCATTTTAGATTCTTCCTTTAAATCAAGATGCATTTTATTCATTTTTCTTACCTATTTGCCCTAACTAGAACACCCAGTATAATGTTAAATAAAAGTGGAAAAAGAGAATATTTTGTCCTGTTACTCATCTAAAAGAAAAGAATTTAATCTTTCAACACTCAGTGTGATGCTAGTAGTCAGATCTTCATGTATTATCTATATATTCTTGAGAAAGTTCAGTTTTATCCCAGTTTGTGGCACTTATTTTATTATGAAAATGTGTGGTTTGCCAAATATTTGTAGCTTCTTAAATGATAATATAATTTTGACACACATTCTTTTAAGATTGTTCAGTACATTGATGGGCATTTAGATATTAAATGTGGGATAAATCAGCTATAAATGCTGTATTATATTTTCTGTATGTTACTGGAATTACTTTGATAGTATTTTATCAAGGATTTTTACTATATGTCCATAAGGAATATTGAACTGCAGGTATTTTCCCTTGAAATTCTTTTGCTTCTGACTTCAGAGTAAAACTGTAGTCACAGGATTAATTGGAACATCCACTCACATCTTCAATTATTTGACATATTTGTGAAGAATTGATATTAGATTTTTTAAATGTTTGATAGAGCATGTCGTTGAATTCATTTTGTTGTGGATTTTCTTCAGAAATCTTTTTTTATTAATTAAATTTCTTTACTTTCCATAAAGGTATTTTTTCTCTTTCCTCGTGGGTCTGTTTCAGTCCTTTGTTCTTTGTAAGAGTTTCCGTAAGTAATCTAATATGCTAGTTCTCTTGCAGTTATCTGCAACTGCCTGACACTCACAACTATGAATTACTTTTTAAAACAGATAAATAAACAGATAGTGAAATATACACTATCTTATCTTTCCATATATTTATGTAGATAATTACATTTACTTACAGTGTTTCATTATCAAATATCAAATGTCCTTTTATTGTTTCCTAAAATACTTCCTTACAATTGTTCTAATATTTTACTACTAACTCATTCTAATTATGTTTATAAAGAAATATCTCAGTTCATACTTCTATATTGACTGAGAGTTTCGCATCATGGGAATTTTCATTGGCAGTCTTTTTTCATTTAGTTCAGTATTTGACTGTCATTTCCATGGCCTTGTAGACTCCAATGTTTCTGACGAGAAGTTAGGTGTTCATCTTTACAGGATCTCTTGTGAATGATCAACGGCAATTTTGTTGTTGTTTTCAAGATTCTTTGTTTGTCTTTGGTTTTGGTGCTTTGACTCTGGGGTTTCTGGGTGTAATCAACTTGCCTTAACCCAGTTGAATGCTGAGCTCTTGCACATAGAGGTTAAAGTTTTTCATCAAGTTTGTAAACTTCCCAACTCTTATTTCTTTGAATATTCTTCCTACTCATTTCTCTCTTCTCCTTTCAAGACTCCTATCATTCATATGGCATTATACTTAATGATCTCCCGTAAGTCTCTGAGTCTCTCTTCTGTTCACTGTTCTCTTTCTCTATCTGGATAATCTCAAATGTCTTATCTTCCAGGTTAGTGATTTTTTTGTTAGTTCAGATCCACTGTGGAGTCTTTTTATTGAACGTTTAAATTTCATTTACTAAACTTTCAGAAGATTTATTTTTCTTTTTACTAATTTCTATATTTCATCAATATTTTTGATTTTATGACACATTATTCTCATACTTTTTTAATTCTTTAGACCTATTGTCATTTAATTCAATGTGTATATTTATAATAGTTAATTTACTACCTTAGTCTAATATGTTCAACATTTAAATTTCTTAGAAACATTATCTATTACTATGCTTTTCTTGTGCACCAGCCACACTTTCCTGTTTATGTTGTTGGGTACAGGATAATTACCTGCTGAAAACTTGGAATTTTAAATGACATAACTTTTGTAGTCTGAAAGCCATATCAACCCAAAGTTTATTGTTGCTTTGTGTAGTAGTTGTTTTGTTTATTGAGTGATGTCTGAGGCTAATCTTGATTATACTCTTTATTGTATGCAGTCAATAAATTCTCTACTTAGATAATTAAGTGTTCGGACAATAATTGGAAAGAGGCTTTGTTAAATTATTTGCACCAATAATATTATAGCCTGTTTCAAGAGCCTCTGTGTAAGTCTGTCAAGGCATGTCTCCAGTGTTTTTGAAAGCATTATTCAACTCTTTATAGCTTTCAAATTTTTCTTATAAAGATCCTTACTGTCAGCTAGAGGTGTGAGATTACAATTTCTCAACTAGTTCCTGAGAATATTACAGATGTGTCTATCTATATTCTTAGGTATACATCAGAATTTTGGAAATACCATGTAACTACCTTATTCTTAAGTGTTGTCTTATATATTTAATCATTTGTTTTGTATTAGTTTGTTTTATCTTTAAATGATAATGTCACTTCATGTTGCTATGATATAAAAAATCCACAGAGTGAATTCTAGATCCCATACAACAATAATATCCCTTATAACAGACTTTTCAGTCAGTTGACAGAACAAATAGATACTGTTTTCTGAAGATGGGACTTTTAGAAATTATCAAAGTACTCTTTACTTGCTATTGCTAGGCTAAGATTTCTCACAGTTCCCATAGTTGCAATGCTATTTTGTTGGCTTGTTTTGTTTTTTGTTGAAAAACATTGTGAAACTTTTGACAGTGGGATCACAGCAAATAAAAATGCCATGTTTCTCTTCTTTCAGACTCAGCAACTTAAAAAAAAAACAAAACAAACAAACAAACAAAAAAAAACTCTTTGAGTTGGTAACCTTTCAGATGATTTTGAAATACCTGATAAAGTTGACCTGTTGGCAGTTTTTTTGCCATAGTTTTGTATCATTTATAGAGAGGTAGAGTTTTGGAGATCCTTAATCAACTATTTTTTAAAATGTTTTCATACAATATTCTTAATTTATCTGCAGTAAATTTCAATAATAAATATCTTAAAAGATGAAAATTCGTAAGGTATATTCAAATCACCATGATGAACTAGTGTTCCTTGAAATTGAAATAGAGTGTTTTTTGGATTTTCTTTTATTGTCTCCTAACAATAAAATATTGATTACTTTTGCTCTTCTTTTTATAGACTGTGACATTCTCATTTATTCCACATCAAGTTGGAGCCTTTAAAGTGAAACAGGCGTTAGAGCTTATTGGTCCAGTGGCAGATAAAAATCTGCAGTCTACATCAATGAAACCATTTTATCACATAACTTTAAATTTCAAAAGCTTATGTAAGCCTTTCACTAAGAAAGTTGTGATGAAAGCTAATCCTGGTACGGTAATATAGAAAATCCATTATACATATATTCTATTTCAGTTTTTCATACCTGTTCATATGAATTAAAATAATCTAGAAAGCTTTTACAAATATATAAATTTATAAATTATCCAGTTTTAATTATTTAGTAGGTCTATATAGGGGCCAAAACATTTGTGTTTCTACCGCTTACCTAATAGATACACTTACAATTCTTAGGATCACACTTATGATTTAGTTACATATACAGTTTCTGAAAGTTTTTTATAGCTTTTTTATTTCATTATTTCTATGGTTTTACTTGAGTGTATACTATAAATTGGTTTTGATCATCCCATAGATTTTCTTATTGTTGGTATGTTATCCAATTCTCTACAAATTTTATATATTGAACCATGTTAAACAACTGACATACACCTTTTTAAACCTGTAGGAATTTCAGTTTTATATAGATCATCCTCTGTCTTAGCAATTCTCATGTTTTATCTGTGTTCATTTTATTATTTACTTTAGTATTAATTGATAGATAACATTGTATAGGTTCACATATTAATTTGTATTTTTGAATGTATTTATTTTTGGCTTAACATTTAAATTAAAACCAATTATCTTGTGTATTTATTAATTAATGGCTGTCCTTTTGAAAACTGGAAGTCTAAGTATTGTATATGATCTTTCTATTTAATTCTATAAAAGGTATATCCCCTTTGGTCAGTAATCCCACGGGACAGTTTGTGGCTAAAGACTTGACAAAATATAAGGATTTTGCACCTGTAGCAAAGCTGCAATCATCAAGGACACACCTTCATGACTATCAGTCAAAAAATGAGTCAATGAAAGGTGCACTGATGGCCTTTCCCAATGAACGAGCTGCAAGTGTCAGGCCAGGAGAACGTTATGAAGTGTTCAGGTAACACATGATATTAAAATTTTTAAAGCTATAGCCAACATGAAATGCAGAGGTCTGAATAACTCCTAATGTCAAAAAATTAATAATGAACACAATAATATTTGATCTCCTCATTTAGTTTTAAATGGAATGAAATGATTGTGGAATGGTAGTGCATTTTAAAAAATTAACCTCTCATATATTCTGTATATTTTCTGGAAACAGATGATATATAAAATAATTCTTAAAATATATCAATAAAAAGTATAGAAGAAAGAAATAATCACCTTTGGAGTCTAACAAGTGTTCAGGATAGTCATGTTTATTAAGTATGGTTGACACTTTCAGTTTGTGTAAAAAAATAAAATTTTGAGAAACTAATTATTGTTATTGTCAGAATCTGTTTTCTTCCTCAGAGACACATTTCCAATTACTTTCCCCAAATTGAACTGAGACTTCCCACATTAGAATCATAAGAATTTATGAAATTAAATTTAAATTTAAATTTAAATTACTATTTTACCAATGTTTAGCCAAAAATTGCCAAAATATATTGACATCATTATCTGGGCTCTGAGCCTAGCAGCTTTTTTTGCACATTTGAGTCTGAAGTAAGTTTCTCCTCTACTTGCTGTATGCTGTTCGTGCAAGTTTGATATAACTCTGGACTTTCTACACTTGTCTATTTGTCTTAAGGAAATAGGCTTGCCTAGTTTTGCAGCCAGTTTTTTGTAATAACATTTGATTTGTAGGACTTTTTTATTTATCTAGTAAGAAAATTGTAGGTTTTTCTATAGAGTATCTTATTGCTTTTATTTTGCAAATTTTTTCCACATCTGCCTTTTAAAAAATTTGACAATTTCAATAAAGTACAGAAAAAAATAGCTCACTATTTAAATCATTATATAGTATAAAAACTGGTGTGTTACTTTTTGGCTTATTGTATCCTTTGTCTCCTACAATGGATGCTTCTGGAAATATTTATGTATGCTTTTCCTCTCTTTCTTAAGGTTGTATAAATATGTATATATAAAGATATAATGTCTTAATTTAATACTAACAGTTTGTTTCTGAGTTCCTATTGATTAAATGGTCCAAAATTGTCAGAAATTTTAAGAAATAAAACTTAGCATTGTGTTTATTTCCTATGACCATATTTACTTTTAGAAAAAAACTGAGTTGCTTTATTTTTGCCTAGTAATTAATAACTGTAAGTAATGAAAGATATTTTATGATACTACATTTGCATGTTGATAATTGTAAATGCCATTTAATGTCCAGTGCACCCTAAGTTTTCTTTTTGAGAAGAAAAAAGGTAGGTTTTTTTGTTGAATTTTTTTACTGCAGTATGGCCTGTGCTTAGAAATCTATCAGGTTTATAGTTAACATTCGGTAAATATTTTAGTAAATAAATGAGGGCAATGTTTTACTCACATGTAAATTTTGTTCCTGGTCCATTGTATGTTTTTAAATCACTTGTTTCAAGTTGTGAGCATATTTGTAATTTTTTTATCCTTTAAGGAACTGATAAAGATTTAGGATTTAGTTATGTTAATAGTTCCTTGACACTTAAGGTATTAAATCCACTATAGCTTTCCTGTACCTCTCTTTCCCCCTCTGTCCAATGTCAAGTCTTTAGATATAGAAATTACTTCTAAATTTTAAAGTTGATAAAGACTCAGCGCTTGAATGGAAATTTAAATATCACTATTTTAAAATAACTAACCATTTTCCCCTCTTACTGACTTACTCTGTTAAAACTTTTAACGCAATTAAGATTGTCTTCATGTAAACAGGGAAGAATTGGAGAATACAAGAAAAATAGGTTAATTTATAACTAATTTTCATTTGACTGTGAGAAATAAAGTATGAATATGACTCTTATTGTAAGTCATATTTTCATTTCATTTTATTGTGAACCTGCAGAAACAAGAAAAGTGATAAAGTTCAATTCCTCAAGCAGTATTCAACAAATCATAGTGCCTGCGCTGCCAGAATTATTTTTCATTTTTCTGATTAAACATTATTTTGAATCTAAACATTTATTTTATACTTTGAAAATTGATACATGTGTACAATGTGTAAAATCATGCCAGAGTAATCAGCATTTATAGCTTCTTGAATTTTTTAGTTAGCATAAAAAATAAATGTATTTATGAAGTACAGTTGGATATTCCAGTATGTGTACATAATGGCTCATACTTAGGAATTAACTATCAAGGGTAATGATCCTATTATAAAATTTGCTGAGGATTAAAAAAGATAGAAGTCGGAATAATTTTACTCTTTGTTTTTAATCAAAATTCATGGTAAATAAAAGGGAAAAACAGTAAGCCAGTTAATATGAGATATAATTTGCAGTTTTTTAGTGGATTGTTTTCTTTCTATAATTGATGGTTATTTCATAAGCTCTGGTGTTGTAACAAAGTATCGTGTTAAATAAAATGATTCAGTTTTCTTTTTTTCTTATTTTAGTCATATTAAATTAAAAGCTGTAAACTGAAAGAAAAAACCACAACTCAGAGCCAGTTATCATTTCTTAAAATTTGATCTCTCGTATAGAATGGCTCAAATTGCCTATGCAAAGATGGCTTTAAGGTGACTTTAAGAAGAAAAATTGCTTCAGTTACATTAAGGAATTAATTAGGTATCACTCTAGTTCTATATATAATAATGTTTTCATATAGAATAGTCTGTGAAAGAAATGACTAGAGCTTGTTCTGTTCCACATATTATGCCCAACACTTGAGTTAAATATTACTTAGTAAGCACTCTACAAATAATTATTGAACAAATGTTTGTGTACAGATTTTAACATCACTTACTCATATTTTAGGACAATTTTCACAAAGGTTCCAAGGTACACCTATATAGACCCTGATTTTGAATATACTGAACTTGAAAAAATAGAGAAGAGAGTACATCAAGACTACTACTCAAATTATATCAAATTTTTAAGACAAAATCGCCTGCAGAAAGAAGCAGCGAGGTAAAGAATAATTCCTTAGTCTTGTTGCCCAGAGATCCAGAAATTTTTCTGTTTCTTTTTAAGATTTATTTTTACTTTAGCTATTTAAGATTGATATATATGTGTGTGTATATATATATATATGTATATATATATATATATTATATAGCATGATATTTATAGCCTAATGATAAAATCAGAATAGTTAGAATTTCTGACTCCTTAAACAATGTTATAGCTTTTTGATTTACATAAATATTATACATATTTACTGATGTCAGTGTGATAATTTCAGTATAGGTATATAATGTGTACTGGTTAAATAACAGTAATTAAAGTATACCTTTTTCATTATTACTTTGTATTTGGAGATTTCAAGCTCTTCTATTTTTTCATAAAATTTATACATTATTGTAATCTATAGCCAACCTGCTGTTTATTATTGCTTTCCAACTTTTCTCACCTTCTTGTATTCTTTCTTACCCCACCTTTTTTAGCCTCTAGAAATCAGGTACTATATTCAGGTTGATTTATTTTTAACATGCACCTGTGAGAGAAAATGCATGATTATTTGTCTGTCTCTGTAATTCATTTAACTTAATGTAATGTCTTCCAGTTTCATCTCTTTTGCTTCAAATGATACCATTTTATAGTTTGCATGCCTAAATTATATGTATATATAAACACATATATGCATATACTCATTTATCTGTTAATGAACACTTGGTCTGGTTCTGTATCACATCTATCATGAATAGTGCCACAATGAACATGGGTATGTGAGTATCACTTTGGAATGCTAATTTCATTTCTCTTGGATATATACTCAGAAGTGGGATCATTAATAGTGATAATTCTCTTATCAATTATTTGAAGAGATTCCATGTTATTTTTCATTCTAGATATATTAATTTACATCCCTGTCAATAGTATATTCCCATTCTTTCTGTGTATGTCCTCACTAGCATCTATCATTTTTGTCTCTTTGACAATTGCCATTATAACTTAGGTGAAATGATATTTCATTGTGATTTAATTTGCATTTCTCTGGTGGATAGTGATATTGAACATTTTAAAAATAAATTTGACCATTTGAATTTCATCCTTAAATAAATGTCCATTCATATAAGTAATCCATTTAGAAGCTTAAATTTTTTGTCTTTGTTATTAAATTTAGTTGTCTGTATATTATGGAAATCAATCATTTGTCAAATAAAGTGTGCAATTTTCTACATTCTGTTGTTTGTCTACTCTGTTGTTTGCATTCATGTGCAGAAACTTTTTAGTTTGATATAATTTCATTCTTTTTCTGTTGTTGCCTGCACTTTGGAATTCTTTTTAAAAAAATCATTGTTTATATCAATGTATTGGACTCTTTCCCCTTTCTTTTCTTCTTGTAGTTTAGCTTTTTGTTCTCTCTGGTATTATGTATAGGATGCCAAAGTCAAATTTCAGTTCTTTCTGTGTGAATATGAGATTTTTGGTGGTTGCATAGTTTTAGTTTCTTTTTCAACTTTTATGTTTTGAATCACATTTTATTGTGTAGTAGAATTAAGATATTGAACTATTTTAAGCATACAAATTTTCTTTAAACTGTTTATCGGTACCAGGGATTGAACTCATGACTGCCTGCTTGCAAGGCAGGTGCTTATGCCACTGAGCTAAATCCCCAGCCCCTCTTGGCGATATCTTATGTAGGTTACCCAAGAAGCAAATCTTGAGATGAAGATATCAGTGCTCGTAAATTATGCAGAATATACTTAGAGAAACTTATATGCAATTAAGGAAATAGAATAGGGCAGGAAAAAGAGCTGAGGAAGGATATGTTGCAAATGTATGCAGTCACCTTGATGTCCAAAGTGTTTTCTGCCTAAACTAGTACTTCCTGCCTTGAGTCAAAGGGTCTGGTCTCTAGTGTGCTATAACTGGTCATTCACTGTGATCTGTCTCTGAATACGGGACTGGAGTGTGAGTGGAAGATACAGCCATCCTCTATTAGCTGTTTTAGTAGGGACTCTCCTTAGCAAAGGAATATTTCTACAGATTAGTGAACCAGTCTTGTTAATTATATATGAATGGGACATCAGTAGTAAAGACTGTGGGGAATATTTGGATTCGTGAATTTATTTTCTAAAAGACTTGACCTCAACTGCGTATTATTATTATTTCTGTAGGAAATGTGCGCATTCAAATAATGCTATAGACATAGCCATGCTGCCAGCCTCTGGTCTAAAGTCACCCATACTCTCTCAAGAGGAAATAAAAGAGGAGTGTTCTTCAACAGAGTGTCCAATCACAACGAATCGATTGATATGTACCAGGGAACTGGCATCCAAGGAGAGAGTGTCCCTGGATAGAAAGGCATGTGCAGTATTTTACGTATTGTTTCATCATCATCTTCTTTTTTTTCTGATACCAGTAATTGAATTCACACCCTCATGCTTGCCAGGCAGATACTGTGCCACTGAGCTATATCATTGGCTCTTTTATTGTATTTGTAAATGACTTTTTGCTAATATTGCATGATGAATTTTGGAAATATGATTTTTCTTAGGATCTCAAAGGACTTAAGTCAAAGCCAGCCACTCCTCAAGAAAAACATGATTGCAATATAGTTTTGACACCAAAGCAAATACATCAAGTAATTATTGGTAAGAATATACAGCCTTTATTTTTAAATAAAATATATTAAAGCAGAACTTGCATTCTTTATAATTCCTAAATTTAAAATGTGCAAGTAAGTATATTTTAGTAAATTTGTAGTTAAGAAACACTGTAACAATCCGGTTTTAGAACGCTGCCATCATCCTTATGCTTATGTACTCACTTTATGTTTCTATTCCATACCCCAGCTAATTGCTAATCAATTTTCTATAGATTTGCATATTCTGAGCACTACATATGAATGAAATCCAACAATATATGATCTCTCATATAGGGCTTAATTTGCATAGCATACTATTATTAGGCTCTTTTGTCTGGTAGTTCTAACCAATATGTTGCTGCATTTTATATCTAGATAGCATCTCATTTAGTGAGAAAACCACATTTGATTTGTTCATTCACCAACTGGTGGACAGTGAGCTATTTCTAGTTGAGGCTATTGTGTATACTGATACTATAGTCGGGCAGGTGAAACTGAGTGGACATATTCTTCAATTTCTTTCGGTTAGATTTATAGGAATATAATTAATGAGTTTCATGTCAAATTTATATTTAACTTGTTAAGAAATTTCTAAAATATTTTCCAAAGTGATGGCAGAAAATTACAATCACAGTACCAATATATGAAGTTTATAATTTCTCCACATTCTGAACAATATTTGTTATCCTCTGTGTTTGATTATAGCAGTTTTACTAAGTAGGAAACATTGTCTCACTAGGTGTTTGATTTGCCTTTCTTTAATGACTAAGGTGGTGATTTCCATTATTAATTCAAGAAATGTTCCTTTAAATTATATATAATCTTTGGAGATGTCTCTTCTACATCCATTCCATAATTTTTAATTTGAATACTTTCTTTTTACAGTATTTAAAAAATTTTATAAACAAAAATGATGAAAGTGATACAGACTTTTGAAACACTAGTTAATATATTGCATATGGTTATCTTAAAAGTAGTTCAGATTACAGGATTCAGGCATAAAAATGATCAAGCATTTAAACAATGAAAACATAAACTGTTTTCAAATGCATTAACAGAGATTAGTAGTTATCTAATTTGTATACACCCCCCCACACACTTACACACACACACATATATATGTATACATATATCCGTATAACCTTTTTTATTCTTTCTTATCTCCTTTCCCCATCTGTCATGGTTTATGTTGTGTCCCCCAGGCCTTATGAGTTTGCATTGTTCATTTGTGATGGTTCATTGTATAGTGCTTGGATTGATAGTGTCAGTGCTCCACCCACATAGGTGTGGAGCCAGGATGTGATGTAATGGCAGGAAGAAGGTGTGTCTTTGTCTTTGCTGGTTCGAGTTTGCTGTTGGTGGCTGCCATGAACTGCAGCCCAGCCATGCCTGCCTGTCTTGGAGCCAACTGAGTGTGGACTGAAACCTCCAAAAACTGTAAGAAATAAACCTTTCCTTTCCCAACTTGGGCATCAGGTATTTTGTCTCAGCGACGAGCATAAAGTAACTAAGACACCATCCCAGTTGTTTATTCCTTTTGAGTAGTTTCTATTTCTTTTCACTATATCTATTGTGCATTCTGTATCTTATTTAATCTTTCAGGCTTTTTTACACTTGGGAAACAATTTACATGTGTGAGTCTAGTTTATTGCACTTGTAAGTATGGTCTCAAGTTGCACACATTTGCTCATGAATAAAGACATGTGATGTCTTCATTCCATGGTTGATGGGCCTTTGGGCTATTTCCAAGATTTACCTATTATAAATTATGATGCTATAAACTTGTATGCACATCCATTTCTGTGGAATGATGTCTTCAGTTGTTCTCAGAAAATAGCAATAATAGGAATATCTGAGTTGAATGGAACTTCCAACCCTAGTTTCTTGAGAAATCTCCTCGTTGATTTTCAAAGTTATTATAACAGTCTACACTCCCATCAACAGTGGAAAGTGTTCCTTTTTTCACATAGACACATCAAATATTGCTGTTGGTTGATTTCTTGATGACAACTATTTTATCTGAGTGAGATGATATCTCAGTGTTGTTTTAATTTGCATTCCATGCATGGCTGGTGGTGTTGAACATTTCTTCATGTATTTCTTTGCCATATCTATTTCTTCATTTCAGAAGTGCGTATGCATCTTAGATGCTAACTGAATTGAGTCTTTAAATTCAGGGGTCCTGAAGTTTTTTAAGTTTTATATGTTCTAGATATAAGTCCTTTGTCTGAGGGGCAGTTGGCTAAAATTTTTCCCATTGTGTGGGTTTTCTTATCATGCAATTAATGATTTCTTTTGATCTGGAAAAACTTTTTAATAAGATAAAATCCCAGTTATTGATTCTCTGAAAGACTTCTTATGTGGTTTGTGTTTTTTTGTGAACATTTTTCCTATCCTATGTCTTGAAGAGTTCTACCTACCTGGTCTTCAGGTAGATTTAGTGTTTCTGTTTTAATATTTTGATTTGTGATAAATTTTTACTTTAGTTTAGTTCACTGATATACATGGGTCCAGTCTTAGTCGCTGGCTTATGGAAAGCCATTTTCCCACAATCTTTATTAAAGAGGCTATTTTTCTTCCAATGAACATATTTGGCCCCCTTGTCAAAAATAAGGTGGCTGAGTGTCTTTGTAGTTGTGTCTGAATTTTCTAATATTTTTCATTGATAATCAAGTCTGTTTTTTGCCAGTGCAATGCTAATTTTTTAGAGTTGATTTGTAGTATAATTTCAACTTAGGGCTTGTGATGTCTCTTCCCTTCCCTTTGTTGCACAGCATTCTTTGCTATTCTAGGTTTCTTCCATTTCAAATGAATTGTAGGAAAGTTTCCTTTAGAACCGTGAGTTATGCTAATGGTATTTTGAATGAAATGGCATTAAATCTGTATAAAAGTTTTAGGAGTATGATCATTTTCATAATGTTGGCTCTACCTATCAAAGAGCAAGAGATAATCTCTCCAACTTCTGATATCTTCTTCAATTTTGTTTAGTATATAGGAATTTTCAATATACAGAGTTTTTACAGCCTTTGTTAGATTGATTTCTAAGTATTGCATTCTTTGTATGCTATTTGGAAAGGTGTTAATTCCATGATTTCTCTCTCAGTGAATTTGTTGTTTGTGAACAAGTATGGTATTGATTTTTGAGTGGTGTTTTATTCAGCTATGCTGCTCAATTTGCTTATTAACTTTATAGTCTTATGTTGGAGTTTTTGTGGCTTCTGTGTAGAGTATCATGTCATCTGCAAAGAATCATAATTTAATTTCTTCGTTTCCTATCCTTAGTCCTTTTTTTTCTCTTGTGTAACTGTGCTGACATTTCCAGAGCTGTACCAAATGGGAGTGGTGATAATAGACATTCTTGTCATGTTCCTTATTTTAGAGTGAAAGCTTTAGTTTTTTCTTTTTTTTTTTTTTTGTTGTTGTTGTTGTTGTTGTTTAGTATGACGTTGACTGTTTGTCATAGATGGATTTTATCAGGTTTAGGTAGAGACCATATGTTGCAATTTTCTGTAGGGCTTTAATCATAAATAAGTTTTGGACTTTATCAAAAGCTTTTTCTGCTATTGAGATGTTCATGTAATTTTTGTCTTTGGCTCTGTTGACGTGGTATATTATGTTTATTGATTTGTATATGTTGAATCATCTCTGCTTTCTTGGAATGGATTCCACATGGTCATGATATATAATTATCTTGATGATTTTCTGCTTTCTCTTTGCTAGTATTTTATTGAGAATTTTTGCATCTATGTTCATTATGGAGGTTGGCCTGTAGTTCTCCTTTTGGATTGGAACTTTCTCTCATTTTGGTATCAGAATAATACTTGCGTCCAAGAATGAGTTAGAGAAAACTGCTTCCCTTACAATTTCATTAAAGAGTTTGAGGAGTATTGGTATTAAATCTTCTCTAAATTTCTTGGAATTCAGCTGTGAATATATTACAACATTGGCTTTTCTTTGGTGGTATGCTTTAAATTACATACTCAATTTGAGTAATTGATATTTGGTTATGGAAATATTTTTTATCTTTTGTCATCTTTGGTAGTTCATACTTTTACATGGACAGAATGGACTCTGTCCATTTCTTCTGTTTTTTCCCATCATACGAGTAAGGAATTAATGGTCTTCTGACCTTCCACAGCATCTGTAGTAATGTCATCCTTTTTTTCTCATTGCATGAATTTGAGGTTTTTTTCCCTATTCTTGATAAGGTTGGCTAGTGGCTTATCAATTTTGTTTACTCTTTCAAAGAATCAACATTTTGATTCATTAATTCTTCGTATAGTTTCTTGTTCTCAATTTCTCATCTGATCTTTATAATTTCCTCCTTTCTTTGAGTTTTGGCCTTGACTTGTTCTTTTTCTAGATATTTGATTTGTAGTCTTGAGTTGATTATTTGTGATCACTCTGTATTCCTGATCTGGAAATTCACACAATATATTTTCTTCTGAGGAGCACTTTCATTGTGTTGCACAGATTCTGGTAAATTCTATTTACTTTTTTTTTTTTTTTTTTGATACAGAGGATTGAACTCACAGCCTTGGGGTGCCAGGCAGGCACTTTATATTACTGAGCTAAATCCCCAGTCCCTGAATTTGCAATTTTGTTTGTTTTTAGATATTGTTTAATTTCTTCTTTACTTTCTTCTGGGACTCTTTGGTTGTTCAGGATGGTATTATTTAATTTCTATATGTTTATGGAATGCTTGCTGTTTTTTTGTCATTAATTGCCAATTTCAGTGTAACATTCTCAGATAATATGCACAGGATAATTTCAATTCTTTTGCATTTACTTATGTGTGTTCTGTGGTCAAGAATTTGCTCTCTTTAGAGAAAGTTCCACATGTAGCTGAGAAGAATGTGTGTTCTGACTTCGGGTGGAATACTCTATGCATGTCTACTAAGTGCATTTGTTCACAAGTTTAATTCACTTCTGTTATTTCTTTGCTGATTTTTTGCCTAGTTGATCAATTTTAATTTGACAGTGAGTGCTCACGTCTGCTGCTTTAAT